AAATCTTAAAATATTGGTAATAAATAATAAGTTGGGTCGAAGCTGTGATGGTGGTAATGTAAAAAAATGGATGAAAATGTATTAAAGCCAACGAGTTTTTTGTGTTCCTTCCTGATTTGTGGCTAAACTACACAACGCATCAACATATGATCCGTGACTAAGTTGCAGAACATGGACAATTGGTTCAAATGTTATTGGTATTTGGTTATTGGAAGAGTTTGATTGATTTGGTTTATACGCGAACTGCATTCTTTTCAATATTGATCATTTTGATGTATTGTAAGTGCAATAAATTTAGTCAATTTTAACGTATATTATACAGTCATCTTAAAAAATTCGCGCGAATTTTTTTGTTTGAGTCCAAAATAACTACATATTTAAACACAACTACTCAATTTTCTTTCAAATACTTAATATCATTATAGATTTATTAAATATATTAAAATAATAAGTGTTCGAATGAAAATTGTTTAGTTGTGAAAATAGGAAGACATTTTGGAATTAAACAAAAAATTCGTGTTCGAATGAAAATTGTTATTACATTAATATATTTAATATATTAAAAATGGTCTATTTACCAAGAATCCAATTTTTTTGTTGTCGGGTAAACCATATTTCTAATAGCAGTTCTATTTCCTCCCAAGACACTACCAATTACTCCTAATTTGATTTAAAGATTTCGATTCCATATAGAATTGTTCTTCATTCGGATGATAATGGTCAATATAATATTTTTTTGAAAAAAAAAAAAAAATGATCAATTTTCTACATACCCTAGCTTAGCATGTTTTAATTCTCCATTCAAATTTTTAAACACTTTGGTTTTCAGATTTTTATATAAATCATTTTTTGTTCCGATGTTTTTCTTTGACCGTCAATGATTTCGAAATTCCATGGCGTTTACAACTCGACGTTCTTCAATCGGTATCTCAGCCATATATATAAAGACATTTTTTGCTAGTTTCTCATTATTTTGTAATTTTAGAAAAATGAAATAAGTCCCCAAATTCTCATTAGGGACTTATTTCATTTTACATTTTTGGGGTTTTTTTTTCATAATGAAATAAGTCCCCAAATTTTAAAATGAAATAAGTCCCCAAAAAATGAAAAAAGTCCCCAATTATAGTTGTTTTTGTTTTGTGTATAAAAAATTGGGGACTTATTTCATTTTCTGTTTGGGGACTTATTTCATTGGGGACTTATTTCATACCGCCCTATTATACCGTAATTCAATGTGATTTGACAAGTATGCAAACAAAACAAATGTGTTTAACCATTTGTGAAGACGAATTTCCAAAAAACATTTTGTACATCTTTCTAACTTTCCATCAATGACCCACATTCCAGCTCTCCCCGTTCGCCTAATACAAAGGGTACCATAACCCAAAGACCCAGCCTTATCCCACGCCTACACGTAAATAACAACACGCACTCAAAATTTCAAGCTTCTAGATTTGGCTCTCACTCTCTTAACACTAAGCTCTGTTATATATTAAGAAGATATTTGAAGTTCCCTGCCTCTAAAACTTATAAATATAAGTTGTAATAACCATGGTTAAATCAGCTTTAGTAAATATACAGGCACTTTTATGGAATTTTGCTTTTCATTTTATTTTAAATTGATATATGAATTATATTATAAAAACAGTTGACATTAGTAATTTCTCAACTGAGACTACCTGCCATAAGTATGTCTGTAGTAAACACAACTGCATATATACAAAAATGTGTGTGTGTGTGGGTGTTATGTATGAAAAGAATAAGTCCATATAATAAATATAATGAAACATTTTAAATTTTATTTATGTTAAAAATTAGAATTAGAAATTAGAACTTTTTTACAGGGTTAACCTATTTTATGAGGATTTATTTGACAGATATGTAATAGAATTGACAATTTAAACCCACTGGTTTAACAAACTCCAGTTCAATGTAAACGTATTATTACTTAGTCAAATATGTTGCTGTGAATATTCGCCGATCCACCTTTTACAAACCAATTCCTTAAAACTCCTCCTTAATGTCAGGATCGATCATTAGAGCATTATTAGTGATGACACTTTTCTTTCCGTTAAATTCATTAATGCTGCCTGTTTTTACAAGAACAACTTGATGCTGGTTATTATCGAATAGTGCCGCCTCATCATTCCATACATCTACCGCCAAAGTCCAGAAGTTTCTGCTGTTTTCATTTCACCAACTTTTTGGCATACACCAATCAAATCGAATGAATCATTTAATCCCACATTGGCCAATTCCGATATTTCTTTAAAATTGTAAGTCGTTTCGGGGAAACCTTCATCCGACGATTGATCGATTTGAGTCGAATTTGTAAATGTAATTTCATATTGATTTAATTTATTAAACTCATTATTAGCATTTTCTACTTCGAAATTTTGGATCAGGAAGACTTTACAGATTTCGAGGACATCAAAATATTTATCGCCATAAGATTTGGCATCTATTACTCCAGATGCGTCTTGCATTTCCATTTTGATGAATTTTCTTCCTCCTGTACGGGAGGTGCGTAAATAACCTTTGTCAACAAGCCTTACTTTAATAGAACAATTCGCAGATGGACATATTTGAGAATTTGCCATTCTGATTTGCTAAACTAAAATATAGATATAGTAAGATGAAACCGATTACGTATTTTATACATATATATTATAGGGTGTGATCCATGTAGTCCTAATAAAGCGTATTAATAACTTTACCCCGTATGCCAAAAATTTCGAAAAAAAAATCGTTTTCATACTGTGGACCGGTCGATAGAGTGTTCCAAGTGTTCGTAAAAAATTTCTCGTGTGGACTTGTAAGGTCTGAAATTATTATTTCGAGGAGTTACAAACGTGGTCGTGGTCTCCTCCGCTGAAGGATGATTTCCTAACGCTGGGGTGTTACGCGACCTCGTGCCTTTCAGCAATTTAAATTGAGATCTGAGTTCTGCAAATGATGAAACGACAGATAGCCGGTGCTTCAGTGTCAGACCGCAATTGCGGAGAATGTAGTCACGTGTGGAAACTCCAATACTTCTATCGAAACCAGGCTGTTGACAGTCGTAACCAAAGTGCGAAATTCAAATAAGCAATGGATTGGAAGGCGATACGATATTTCGACAGAAAGCCGAAAGGGAATTTTCACGAATTAGGAAACACTTTAAGGTAGCGAGGAAGTACGAAAAAGACTACCCAATAAATTTTCTAGGGAACCAAACTCCTTATGTTTGTCAGGATGACACGAAATTTTGCACAACGTATCAAATTGATATGTTTTTCAATTGATGCAGATGCAGACATAGCTTCCATTTTATTTATTTATTTTTATTTTTTAACGGGTGTCCGATTGAGTTTAAATATTAAACAGTGCGGCATACAAATTTGTCCCACGAAATGAAATTTAGCATAGTTTGCAGAAAGGCATGTGTTTGGATTGATGTTCGTCAGTTCACTTATAAATAAAGATCACATACTTGAATTCGTTCAATACATTGACATGAAATGGTTAGGGTACATATGTAGAATATACCCAAAGTTGTGAAGGGTATCATATAGTCGGCCCAGCACGACTTTACTACATTCCTTACTTGTTTTTTATTGGTCATTTCCCGTTCTGTAAGAATCTACTAGATTTTACTATTTTCTTCGATATCAGGCTCGAACCTAATTCAATGCGTTGTGTACACTTCAATTCAAAGCATTGCAAAGCGACAACTTTACACATGGTTCCGTATGACAAGGCGGTAGAGCTTATTGACAAAGCTGACCCCGAGGTGCGTATTAGCGATATTCAGTCAGAGGAAGATGATCGGAGCTTGCAGTTCGAAAGGATCGCCCTTTATAAAAGAGTTTGTCGCATTTCTTATTAGAATAGTAAATAACCTTGAGCCCCTTGGGAACGGCCGTGTGCTGTAATCGTTAGTCATCGGATGAGTAATTGACGAAAGCTAAATGTCTTACAGGAGACAAAGTAGGGGAGGAATACGTGAAGAGGTACTTTGGTGATTTGACTGGGCGGATTCTTTTCGGTTGATCTTGAAGGATTTCCATCTAATCGTGAAATGGGGTTTTCCCACATTTACTTTGAACATATAACTTTGCTTTTTAATTGAAACTAAGTAGCTTTAGATTTTGGTTTATACATATTTTGAATTCATGTAATACACATTTTTTCATTCTTGAAAATATTTTCAACTAACGAAGTTGGTTTTTCTTAAAATAAATAATTATTAATATTGGATAATAAATTGTGTTTTAACCACAGTCAGATTAAAAAAATAAGGAAATTGCAAGGTACAGTTAAAATGGTATATTATATAAACGCTTGTGAAATTTTTGAAAATATATATTTTTTTAAAAAATTCAGGACTTATGGAATTTTTGAAAAAAAATATATATATATTAAGGGGTAATACATCTTACCCCATAGGTTTCAACATTAGGACGCAATTGGAAAACATATGAATGGAAATTAATTGATGTGAAAATTTCTTCAGCTTCTGTGGAATTATTTTCCAATGCTTCACAAATTTTTCGTTGCATTACATCTCTCGCAACGATAATGGCCGTTTTGTTAATCGGTAACTTTCTTGTGGCAAGGACAAGCTTTGTAGTAGGCATTATTACTCCTAATCAAATGTACACGGCCTTTGTTTGGAAATAGTCCGGTGCCCAAGTTGACGGCTTCATCTCCCCATATGGTGACAGTTACAGCCGCTTCACTGGTATCCACCAATTTCAAATCGCGTTTTTTAAACTCCTTATTTGTAGTACGCGACGTAAAGCACTGCAAATCGCCGACATCCTTGCAAATTCCAACAATATTAACGGATGCTTTTGGTTCCATATTAGCCACCTGGAAATGGGAACTAAATCGTATTTGATCGTGGGACAACTGTATCAGTGGTGAAGGTAATCATTTTTCAGTGTGATGTATTGTTTGTTGGCCGGTTTAAATTGGCACTTGGAGATATAGTAGAGTTTACCGACCTCAATCATATCTTAATATTTATCACACTGATCACGTAATGCGGTGGCACGTATCTCGAAAGATTCATCCATTAAATCGATGCTGAATAGTTTACCTTCACCCTTGACATTGCTCCAAGTATGCAAGGGCGATTTGGCGGCAATGCCGCGCCGGTTCGGGGCTGTACTAATTATAGAGGATTTACAACAAATTATAAGAGTGTCAAAATAATACGCCAATCATTTGTGTTGTGATATATATTCGTTTTCATTTACTTACTACAGTCGGAATCGACGGCGAAATTGGTCGCTATAAGGGATGCCAAGGCAAAGACTTTTAGCGAGACTTTAGGGACACCGCCGTTATAGCCTATGTGTCATTAAAAACTCTATAATTTTAAACGATGTCGATTGTACTAATTGCTAAAAACTGAGCAAAGTTTAACCACTTTCCTACATTTCCATTTTTTATAGAAAATATATTTCTTTACTAATGATAGGAATTTTTAAAAATAAATAAAATGTTTTTTTTTGTTTTTTTGCAAAATTTGATTGTAGAAATTTTACAGTACAATACTTGCAACTCAAGTGCTACTATTTTAATGAACCATGTCATAATTATACAATCTAGTATCATGAAAATGAAAATATCTTCCTTCTGAATGTACGCATTTAATTTGATCAGTGGCAAAAATTGCTAAATCGTTAATATATATTTATAAATATTTTGAAGTTCCCTGCCTCTAAAACTTCTAAATATAAGTTGCAACAACCATGGTTAAATCAGCGTTAGAAAATATATTTTGTTTAATTTATTGAAAATATGCCAATTGACGAAAAATTTTATGAAATTTATTTTTCATTTTATTTGAAATTGATATATGAATTCCATATTTAAAAGAGTTGTTATTAGTAATTTCTCAAAAGAGACTACCTTTCATAAGTATGCCTATAACACTAATGCACAAAATAGTACGATAGCGGTGATGGTTAAACACGTTTTCTCTTTGTCTCTCTTTTCGTCAGTCATTTTTGTTGATGATTTCTCAGTTACGCTCTCACGCACTTACTCTTAATTTAGTTCTGTTCAACACTGGCCTATAATAAACACACAGTGTATATACATAAATGTGTATGTATGTGAAAAACGAGGATATTGTCCGCGGAGTAATAGCACGTCTGTATCTTTTGCTGTGCATTTACACACTAATTTATTAATATAAAAAGTGATCCTTAAGAACTAAATATTACAATATGACGCGGATATTGTCCGCGGAGTGATAGCACGTCTGTAGCTTTTGCTGTGCATTTACAAACTAATTTATAAATATAAAAGTAATCCTTAAGAACTAAATATTACAATATGATTTAACCTATCTTAGATTAATGTGTACGAGAGAGAGAGAGTGCGTAAACCCATCTGACATAAAACATGTAGTGGACACACACATTTCTTTATCTCACATGTGGCAAGCACGCTACACATACTTATCAGTCTGTAGTGAAGATTACTCCCCGTAATCTCACCTAAACCTACCAAACATGTGGTTGACATGTTGAAATGTCTTATCTTATTCCTGTGCACAAACATTCAACCAAAATAATTTCTTATCTCAAGTGGACTGTATACGAAAATTGATTCCTGTTAAACTAAATATTCTCTCCTTTACATAAGAGATCCACAGCAAGACATTCACTATCTTTGTTATTTGGAAACCATGTTCGCTACGTGAACAGTATGTATGAAAAGAATAAGTCAATATCTTAATATATAAAAGAGCGTAGTGTTAAGTGAGTGAGTGACTGTCATATCATCGCCCAGACGAAACGGTTAAAGCTAGGTGCTTGAAATTTTGAGTGTGGGTTGTTGTTGGTGTGGAGGCGTGAGATAAGGCTGAGTTTTTGGAAATTCGAACTCGAAGGGTACGAAAAGTACTAAAATGTGTCCTTTGTGTCAGGCGAACGGGAAGAGCTAGAATTCTGAAATTTGAAATGTGGGTCACTGAAGGACAGTTAGAAAGATGTACAAAAGAGTTTCTGTGTACGAAAAGTAGTAAACTTTACTAAATTTAGTTCTAATTGTATATGTATATACTAGATGGATAGCGACCTATATGCAGCTGCAATATATTGAGATTAGGTAAATCCTGGTTTTAATATTTTAATATTTAATATTTTTAACATTTAACCGGATGTCATTAACCCAGTTTGTTTCAATTGCTAATTCCTTTGCATATATGTCAAAAAAAACCTCATAAAGTAGATTAACCCGGTAAAAAGTTCTAATGTATATGTTCTCATTAACACTACAGATAATGACACTTAATAGGATAAATTACTATTTTGCACATCTTAAGAACGATCACTAACCGACATTTAACGTGTCTTCCGGATGGCCAAAAGATTTCTAATTTCTTTTAATATTTTTGTGTGTGTGTGTTTTTTGTTTTGTTTTTTTGATCAAATAACATTTTTTCAAAATACACATTATTTCACAAACTGACAAAAATAAAAATGAAAATGTCAATCTTTTCTTTAATTTTTTTTTTCAATTTACATATATATGTTTGTATTTTATGTACATATTGCTTAAGCCGGTGCGATTCGCTGCCCTTATGATAGGAAAAAATATGTCAAATATATAAAAATAAAAAATGTATATTTTTTAGGTTTGAATTTATTGAGTATATTTTTCTTAATTAATTTCTAGCTTATAGCATACTATCAAATACGTTAAATCTTTTTTTTATAATTTTTTTAGAAATAACATTATTATCTTAATTATTATTCTAATGCTTTTGGATAGATGATGTTTTTAATTTTTCCGTCAGGGGTATAAACAAAAAGATTTGATGGATTTCCTACTCGCGAGCATGCAACATAAAGCTGACCATGTGAGAAACACGGATTTTCTAAATTTAATCCACAGACTTTAAGAGATTGGCCTTGAGACTTATTAATTGTCATTGCAAAGGATAACCGAACAGGAAACTGTAAACGTTTAAAGTTAAATAGAAATTCGGACGTTATCAATGGAATTCGTGGTATTATTACGTCTTCGCCTTTATATTTCCCAGTTATGATAGTCGCTTCGATTATGTTATTGTGTAATGTTTTCACAGCAAGTCGTGTTCCATTGCATAGCTTTGGAGGATCAAGGTTTCGCAATAAAATGATAGGTACACCAATTTTCAATTGCAGCACATGTGGTGGAAAACCTGGAGGATCGAGTGAATTTAAGAATTCAATTGGGTAATTGTCGACATCCTTTTCCTCCATTACGGTATCGATTGAATTATATGTTTTTAGACTTCCAACGATTCTATTCAGGATAATGTTGTTCATATAGTTAACGTCAACATTTTTAGCAGCTAATAATGCACGTTCACATAACCATTGCGTATTTTTGAAATTGCATTCAATATTTGGAAATATGGAAATAATTAGATCTTCAATAGATTGTGTCATTTTACAAAAGTCACCCGGGAATGTAATAGAATTTGTTTCTGAATTGACTGGCATTTTTCCATTTCCTAAATCTAGCAATTGCTTAGAAAATTGTAAAGCTGATTTATCGTTTTGAAGAGCTACACGCATATTTGTAGTTAATTTAAGTGTTTTAACATGACTCCAAAGAGAAGAAGATTTAATGCATGCATTCAGTTCATCGGCTGGTGTTGAACTCGGAATGACAGGTAGAGTTTGACGAAAATCTCCAGCTAGTAGAATAAGAGCACCTCCAAATAAATTTGTGTTGTTCCGCAAATCCTGTAAGGTGCGGTTAAGGGCTTCTAAAGATTTTTTGTGTGCCTTGTTGCATTCATTCCATACTATGATTTTGCACGTTTGTAAAACTTTACCCATTGATGAATTCTTTGTGATGTTGCATGTGCAATCCTCAGAAAATTGCCATGTTAATGGTAATTTCAGTGCAGAGTGTGCAGTTCTTCCACCATCCAAAAGTGTTGCGGCAATTCCTGAAGATGCAATAGCTAACGCAATATTACCTTGAGACCGGACGCTGGCTAAGATCAGTGAAATTAGAAATGTCTTTCCTGTTCCAACGGGTGCATCTATGAAATGTAAACCACCGGTTTGGTTTATTATAGCATCCATTACATAATCGTAGACATTTTTTTGTTCAGGTTGTAACTTTGGCAAATTTTCTCCCAGATAAATTTCCAATTCTTTTGGATGATAATCGGTTTCTCGAAGTAAATCTCTTTCAAATGGATCACTAATTGGACGAATTGGGGCGAACATTCCAACTTCAATGAGAAGTTTATTTTTAATTTCCATACATATGTTTTCTAATAAAATTAAACATTCATTAAAAATTGTATCCGAAAATTCCATTGCTGGATCATTATTAAGAGCTCTATGTTGATGTAATATATCTTCCGCCATATCCTCCTTGAATTGTTTCCAAAGTAATTTTGGATTAGATGGTGAGCAAGTAACCAATATAATTGCAAATAATGCTCTAATTTGGCGTGGGTGCCTTTTAACCGATGCTTCCGCAAGTGTCGTTTCCCAATGATCATCGCTTTCTAGCAATTGTAATTTTTGACATGCCTCACGGTACGTTGCACATATTTTGCCATCCACTGTTCGCAAATTTTCAAATGATGTTGGTCCACGAACATTTGTTAGAAGCTTTCTTAAATAGAAGCATTCTGCATTCTGAGGATAAAAAGTATATATGCTACCCATGGCATCTGTGGAATAAAGTTTTTCCCATCCTTCAACAGCTTTTCCTTGTTTACGGCGTTGAAATTTTTTGGATGATGCGTTCCAAGTAAAGTATTTTGGGACTTCAGCATAAAGCAAGGTTTTGGCAAACAAATCATTTCTACATAAATCGAAAAATGATGTTAATGTTGTACTTGGTGGTAATAAGGCTCTCTCTTGTGCATTTGTCTCATTAAAATACACAAGTTGTCTATTTTCAAGATGTACTGCAAGATGAACAACAATTGGATGACGTTCATGTATTGGAAATCCTAAAATTCGCCAAACTGCTTCATTGCTGCTGATATATTGAGCAATTTGATAATTCGTTACTTCATCAGTTGGATTTTGAAAGGAAAATACTGCCATGTCGGGTCCTTTGTTGAGGTATTTGCAAACGTATTTTATTGATTTTACCGAACTGCAATATTCTACGTTGATATGTGCCTTAAACGTTTTTGAAAGTAACGGACAATATGGCACTATCCAGCGATTATCAATGTCAACGTCAATATTGCGGTCCTTCACTGTAGTTGATTTACCACCATCTTCCACTGATCGTCGCCGATAAAGAGGATAGCCATCAATACTCGATATAGTTTCTTTAAGCAGCTGCCTTGGATACTTCTTAGTGCACTTTCCATCCACCATGCATGGAGAATTTGGATTAATACTTCCACACGGACCATGAACCATATTTTTTATTACAATATCATGCAATTGAGGATCATTGTTGGGATCAGGTATCTCAGCTGAAATTACACTATCAATGAGATTGGGTGTAATTTTTTCAACTAACCATATTAAAATGTGGGCGTGCGGCAATCCGCGATTTTGCCATTCGACTGAATACATCCAACATCGTGTTTCTCCAAAAATATGCATCTTTACAATGAAGTCCAATAAAGATTTTAATTTTAGCTTGAAGACACGTGCTGTTATATCGTGTCGATGTGCTGATGTTTGCCCGTAAGATAATTCGCTAGTGATTTCCTCCCACTTTGGATTGCATGTAAACATAATGAATAAATCAGGTCTACCATAAGATCGCATATATGCCATAGCATCTTGCCTATATTCCTGCATGTGGCGTACAATGTTGCTGGTGAATGTTGCTGGTAGTATTATAGCACGTCCTAATTCATTTGGATTTATATCAATACTGCTGTTTATGGCATCTTGCAAATGAATGTAATTATCTACTCGTAGTTTGGGTTGATTGCGACGAATGTTCATCAGACGTTCCATCTCAATTTTAGCATACATGTCAACAATATATTGATGAAATAGCTCCCGGCAGTTTACAATATGGTTTAAAGTGTTTCTACGAATCATTATGCGATATGCATAAAAATTCTTCGAGCTCACTTTTTTATTTGTTGGTTCATCTGTAATTAAAAAAATAGAATTGAATACAAATGAGTTTGTATTCAATTTTAAGATAACAATGAATATACTTACTTGTCGATGTATTGATTTGTCGTAATCCGAAGTGGTATCCATCTTCACCATATGGGAAAATAATGGGATACTGAAGAGCGTCATATGATATGTCGGTCTCAGCTATTATTCTTACTTTTCCATCACGTCGGCGAATAATAATGTCACGTGGCGCAGTCGGCTCACCAACTATTAATATTGCCATATCATCAATCGTAGGTGCATTGTCAGAATGAATAGTAATCAAATGCTCATCTGAACACAGTCTTGGATCATCTCTAGCTTGCTTAAAAGTCCTTATTAGTTCATTGCGGCCATGAAACATTTCTTGCAAATCAGCTACAACACGCTGATTCGTTTCAGGATTATAACGTTGTCGTTGTTGTACTTGTTCATCTGCTTGACCAATAAAATAAATTTGTAAACAGTTTGGATCTTCATTAGAGCTTGGCAATAGTGATCCCATGCGGTGGTAAATTTGTCCTTCCACAAATTTCATCACATTGGAAGCTCCAAAAGAGGTCATCTGAAAAGCAGAATTGTACTTTCTGATATTTCTTAAGAAATGCTGAGAATCCAAGTGAGACCCTATAGAAGATAACAAAAAATATATAGTGTTTAAATTAAATAAGTTATAAATATAGTTTTTCTTACCTGTCATCAATGATAATAATGGCTGTGGTGGTGGAAGAAGTTGGGGTAAAACTATTTTTCCATTTGAGCAACACATTCCTTGTGTTTCGTGTTTGTATTTGTATGCATTACAGTGTCGACAAACGTTGTTCATTGAACCTATAGCTATTAACTCATTCCTACTATAATCCATGTCAGCTGTGTAGTTGAATGCAATCCGCTCGAAAGACGCAGGCACTTTTCGACGATGACGATAACTATCTTGCTTACGACGATAAATATTTTGATCAATTGTTTCATTTTCTCTTGAGGTGGATCGAGAACGTTCAGTTCTAAGGCGACTTTCTCGTTGTTCTGACGTTTCCCTAGCTCTTGCTACAGATGGACGAACACGTTGGCTTCTAAGTCTACTTTCTCGTTGATCCGGCGTTTCTGTAGCCCTTGCTGCTGTTGAACTGCTATCTTGTTCTTCTGCTGTTTCAGTAGCCCTCGACGCTAATGAACGAATATTTTGGTTTGTTAGTCGGATTGTTTGTTGCTCAGATGTCAGACGTTGGTTTTCCAAACGGGAGTTACGTTCATCAGAAGTTTCGGCAGACCTAAAAGTAGAAACCTGAAGTTTAATGTTGCATAGGCGAGTTTCACGCTCTACTGGCGTCTCGCGTTCTCTCCGCAATTTCATGATCCTTGCTTCTTTCGTTTGTTTGGAAAGGCACGATTTTTTTGATGACATTGAAATTAGTAGAAAACAACATCTTTAAACGTGGTCTTCCCAATTTGGTGGATTTGCCCACAAGACCGACGCGTTTGGAAATCTTTTTTAAGCTCGGCTTATGGATCAACCGTTCTGTAAGAAGCCAGCTATGTAAGTAAGTTATAAGTAAGTTGTACTTTTAAAATCTATTATTGAACTAAACTACAAACATTTTGCGACATTATATTTTATAAAATTATTATATATAAAATACTACGATTATAAAATAGTATCGTAGCTAAAAACAGGCAACTATTCCATTAAAAATTTATTTTATAAAAATAAAAATACTAAATTTGGCGCAAGTTGGATTTGGGTGAACAGGTAAAGCTAGAGTCTTCGTAGTTATTGGTACGAAAAGTACAATATGGTACTAAATTTCGAACAATTTGGATTTGGTTGAATCCTGAGAGTTGGAATAAAGATTACTGTTGAAGTGTAGTATAGAATTATAGGGATAACTTTGGAAACTCGTATTTAGGGGTACGAATACAAGAGCAAATACATTAAATTTGGATGTGGATAACGGATTGAGGAATCCTAAAATTTGGAATATGGGTCACTGACGGAGAGTTAGAATGGTATCAAAGTGTATTTGGTACTAACTGGTACTAAATTTAGTGGTGGTATGAAGGAACTCTTGAAAATGTGTACTTATGTGTTCGCAAAGTGCTAAATGGAACTAAATGCTTAACGTGTACATACACATATAATTGGAATTCTGATCTATTTTTAATCTGTGTACTGGAAATAAAGAGAATATGACGAGAGAATAATAAATAATGCTTATGTGTATGACATGTACTAAATGGTAATAAAATTTATATTAGATGTAGGAATAAATTTGGCGACTTCCATATGAAATATTATTTTTTTCCGTTCCGGCATACGAAGTAAATGTATTAAATTTTATTTATGTTACTTACTCAATTATGTTGGTGTGACTGTTCGCCGATCCATCTTCAGCCTCCCTAATGTGAGGATTGATTATTAGAGCATTATTAGTGCTGACACTTTTCGTTCCATCAAATTCATTAGTGCTGCCTGATTTTACAAGAACAGGATGCTGGTCATTATCGAATAGTGCCGCCTCATCATCCCATACTTCTACATCTACCGTCTCCATACTTCTATCCACCAAAGTCAAGATACGTTTCTGCCGTTGCACTATTGGTAAAAAGTATTATTTTTTGTCATTTTTTTGTTTTCATATTTTGAAATGTAACTGATTTCCTAAATGTAGTCACCCATATTAGAAAAACCTTTAATATCAATGCGGGTGGCAACCCTTTTTTTGCTGGCGAGCTTTAACAGTCAGCAGTTTGAAAGTCACATTGTTTTGGTACAACTGGCGGTAAAAATCAGCTAAGTTCGAGTGCTTGTAATTTGACAAAATTGAAAAATTGAAATGTGTAATTATGGAAAACGTTAGTGCAGGTATGTAAAATTAAGACGAGATGCCCTTTTTGTCATATTTGTCTGTTGTAATACTGTGAAATGTTTTGTTTATGTATAACTTTATATAAAATAAATTAAATTATGAACATGCTGGACCTAGGCTAAAAAGGAAATTAGCCTCCGAAGTTGCTTCACAAAATACGCTATATAAAGCAGTCAGTAATGGAAATATATCCGAAGTAAGGAGCAAACATTTTGTTATATGCAGTTATATGAAATAGTGCCCCAAATCATATGAAAATTTGTAGGTCATCTTGGGAGCATAAAATTATACAAACCAAATTTCACTTCAATAGCTTCATAAACAAAAAAGTTGGGGCAAATCTCCCAGATCGGCTATATGACAGCTATATGAAATAGTGCCCCAAATCATATAAAAATTGGTAGGTAATCTTGGGAGCATAAAAAATGTATACAAACCAAATTTCACTTCAATAGCTTTATAAACAAAAAAGTCGGGACAAATCGGCCAGATCGGCTATATGGCAGCTATATGAAATAGTGCCCCAAATCATATGAAAATTGGTAGGTCATCTTGGGTGCATAAAAATGTATACAAACCAAATTACACTTCAATAGCTTTTTAAACAAAAAAGTCGGGACAAATCGGCCAGATCGGCAATATGAAATAGTGCCCCAAATCATATGAAAATTTGTATTTCATCTTGGGAGCATACAAAATGTATACAAACCAAATTTCAGTTCAATAGCTTTAAAATTAGAGTTTAATGCAAAATAAACGTAAAAAACCATAGTGCATAATCTAGGGTGTGATCCACGTAGTCATAACAAGGTGTATTAATAAGTTTACCCCATATGCCAAAAATTTCGAAAAAATATCGTTTTCATATACCTTTTCTTGTGTGGACATGTAATGTCTGAAGTTATTATTTCGAGGAGTTACAACCGGGATGACATCGTCAAGGAAGTATCCAATTCGATCGTAAAATGCGTTTAAACCATTAAAATACCAAACATCATAGGAGTGCATGTAATTTCAATCTTTCTGATCCCATGACATTATAACCACCAGCTATATAGGTTAAAAAACATAATTTAAAGGTTTAAATAATTTTAGTATAATTTTATTATTTACCACAGAAAAATGGTTCAAAATATTTATGAAGTTCTTCTGGCTTGTCAGGCTAAAGACCTAGGCTAAAAAGGAAATTAGCCTCCGAAGTTGCTTCACAAAATACGCTATATAAAGCAGTCAGTAATGGAAATATATCCGAAGTAAGGAGCAAACATTTTGTTATATGCAGTTATATGAAATAGTGCCCCAAATCATATGAAAATTTGTAGGTCATCTTGGGAGCATAAAATTATACAAACCAAATTTCACTTCAATAGCTTCATAAACAAAAAAGTTGGGGCAAATCTCCCAGATCGGCTATATGACAGCTATATGAAATAGTGCCCCAAATCATATAAAAATTGGTAGGTAATCTTGGGAGCATAAAAAATGTATACAAACCAAATTTCACTTCAATAGCTTTATAAACAAAAAAGTCGGGACAAATCGGCCAGATCGGCTATATGGCAGCTATATGAAATAGTGCCCCAAATCATATGAAAATTGGTAGGTCATCTTGGGTGCATAAAAATGTATACAAACCAAATTACACTTCAATAGCTTTTTAAACAAAAAAGTCGGGACAAATCGGCCAGATCGGCAATATGAAATAGTGCCCCAAATCATATGAAAATTTGTATTTCATCTTGGGAGCATACAAAATGTATACAAACCAAATTTCAGTTCAATAGCTTTAAAATTAGAGTTTAATGCAAAATAAACGTAAAAAACCATAGTGCATAATCTAGGGTGTGATCCACGTAGTCATAACAAGGTGTATTAATAAGTTTACCCCATATGCCAAAAATTTCGAAAAAATATCGTTTTCATATACCTTTTCTTGTGTGGACATGTAATGTCTGAAGTTATTATTTCGAGGAGTTACAACCGGGATGACATCGTCAAGGAAGTATCCAATTCGATCGTAAAATGCGTTTAAACCATTAAAATACCAAACATCATAGGAGTGCATGTAATTTCAATCTTTCTGATCCCATGACATTATAACCACCAGCTATATAGGTTAAAAAACATAATTTAAAGGTTTAAATAATTTTAGTATAATTTTATTATTTACCACAGAAAAATGGTTCAAAATATTTATGAAGTTCTTCTGGCTTGTCAGAACTTCTCTGTTCTTATCTATCCATACTAATAAAAGAGTAAAAGTGATTGACTGACTGACTTAACGATTAATCAACGCCCAGATGAAACGGCTGAAACTAGAATCTTGAAATATTGGGTTAGGGTCACTCTTGGCCCAAAAGTGACAGACAATGTCGGGTTTTTGGAAATTCGTACAAGAACAAGTACCAAATGCGGTACCCTTTGTATTTGGCGAACCAGAAGAGCTATTATTTTAAGTGATTATCAGGAATGATTTAGAGGAATGGATGGAGCTGGAATTCTGATCCGGAGTGTAAGATAGCGATATGTAGGAAATACGATTACTACTGCATTGTAGAATTGATGTACGTTGGTAGTTGGGGAAATTCGTAATTATGTGTACTAAATTTGGTGCAATTTCAATTTGGGTGAACCAAATCGTGAAATTTTGAGTTTGGAAATTTTTACTAATGTTTACTAATTTGGTACAATTTGGATTTAGGTGAACCGATAGAGGTGGAACACCGAAATTTGATATGCAGCTTTGTCAACGATAAGCGAAGAGGAATGTGTGAACAAGATTTGGAATTTGTACTTAAGGTACTAAAAACTACTAAATATTACATTACAATGAAACAGGTAGGAATATATATCAGAAACTTGATATTTATCTTTAACTGCTAAAAATATTTTTTTGAAAATTAGTATAAAAAGGCACTAGAATGTTATAAATATTATTCTAAAATAGAACCGATAGAGATCGAAATGTGAAACTTCTTATATAACTCTAAGTATTCCAAAAAGAATGTTATGCATAATTTGATCTTGGAAACGTGGTAGATTTCACTACTACAAAGACAATGCTATACATTAATATATTTTTTAAATAAGTACTAAAATTGTACTAAATATTAAATCATAATGGAAACCGCTATGCATAAATAAATGCATAAATATTTTGGAAAATTAGTACTAAACATTGCACCACAGAGAATGGTAATAAATATACTAAATATTTGTACTAACAGTGTTGAACTTTTGTACGTAAATAAATGTAATAAATAATTGGAAAGAAATTGACATTGTCTTATCTATATTTAACTAGTCTATATATAATTGCGATATACGTGACTGACTGATCAACAACGTCCATTATGAACAAAACAAAGTTTGTAAATTGTACTACTAATGGAACTTTCTATTATACACACACACGAAGAAAAAAAGCGAATCAACGTTACAAAATGTTGGTTACATCGATGTAATTTTTTAGAAAAATGTTGTTTGAACGTTGCTGAATGTGTGAAAATCAAGAATAAAACATGCTAATTTAATATTAAATATAGTTGATTTTAAAATTTTCACGTTGTAATAAAATTGCCCATTTTAACATTTTTCATAGTTAAAATAGTCGACAATGCTGAATTTCCATAGATGAATTTATATAAAAAAAATAACAATTTTTCATGTTAAATTAAAATTGTGACAATAGTAAAATTAATAGTTTCAATGTTGACATGATATACATAGTTCTATTTTAAAAATGTAATAACATTGACTTGAAACAACATTTCAATCATGTTAAATTGATATTGTTGATATTGTAAATGCTAATTGGAACAAGATTGAATTGAATTTGTGGATTATTAAAACAACATGAAACAATGTTGAAATGAATTCATGTTGACTTACAAAAAAAAAGAAAGAAAGAAGAGAGCTCCGATTTGCCCGATTTTACTCGCGAGTGGAAAATACTCCCGAGTGGTAGTAAGTAAAGAGTACGAGTTTTTTAGGGAGTATACTCTCCACTCCAGAGATGGTCCGTTAGAAACAGTGACGTAAATGACATACATTTTCGACGTATATTACATACGTCGGAAACCCATCCAAAACCATTAGGTTTTTGACAAAATACCTATTTCCATTAATGAATTTGGAAATTACGTATGCTTTACTGAAATCCATATAAAATTTCAAAAAAAAATTCTCCAAAATGTTTAGAATTTTTTTATAAGTTCTAGTAAGGAACAGACAGCTATATGTAAAAATAATATGAATTTTTGAAAATAACGGTATATGGTAATAATATTGGAATAAATGACGTTTTCTACATTTACTACATTTTTTACAGGTATATGACGTTTTCTACGTTTACACCTTTTTGACAGTCGAAAACCTAAAAATTCGTCATACGGACCATCCCTGCTCCACGCTTTTATTTTGTTTGGGAGTGCTCGCGAGTACTCCTTGTTGAAGAAAAAGAGTGTAAGTCAGTGATGTACACGGTGAGAGGATGACATTTTGTAAATATATGAGTGAGACTAGCACACAAAGTTAAAGCGGGCCACACACGTTAAACATGTGCTTTACATCGGTGTGAATTAAATTAAAAAAATTAAGTAAATAAAATTGATCGTTTTTTTTTTGAGTCGTCACTATCGCTGACCTTCTTCATTCTTTAAAAACCAAATTCGAAATAAAGCTTTGTTGATTCATTTGTGGCCTATCAGCTTCACACCGATCAAACGTACATGTTTGATGTGTGTGGGCCGCTTAAGCGTGGCCGCAAAATGATGCGCACCAGCATAGACATGTTTACTTGTTGAAGTTGTCGTTGTTGAAGTTTCAACAACGACTAAACAAATGAGCGTAAGAATCCGTGTGGGTTGAGCTGACCGCTAGAGTGCAAGGGCGCGCATCCCTGGTGTAAGTCAAAATCAATGAAGCCCATTAGTATACTTTAAAGCATGGATGCACGCCCTTGCACTCTAGCGGTCAGCTCAACTCACACGGATCCTTACGCTCATTTTTTTAGTCGTTGTTGAAACTTCAACAAGTAAACATGTCTATGCTGGTGCGCATCATATTGCGGCCACGCTTAAGCAGTGATGCACACGGTGAGAGGATGGCATTTTGTAAATGCATGTGTTAGACTAGCACACAAAGTTAAAGCGGGCCACACACGTTAAACACGTGCTTTCCATTGGTGTGAATTAAATTAAAATAATAAAGAAAATAAAATAGATCGGTCTTTCTTGAGTCGTCACTATCGATGACCTTCTTCATTCTTTAAAAACCAAATTGGAAATAAAGCTTTGTTGATTCATTTGTGGCCTATCAGCTTCACACGATTAAACGTACATGTTTGATGTGTGTGGGCCGCTTAAGCGTGGCCGCAATATGATGCGCACCAGCATAGACATGTTTACTTGTTGAAGTTTCAACAACGACTAATAATGAGCGTAAGAATCCGTGTGAGTTGAGCTGACCGTTAGAGTGCTAGGGCGTGCATCCGTGCTTTAAAGTAGCTGCCTACTCACACTCATTGTAAGAGTCTAAACGCAACCATAGAGTCAGGAGTCAGCGGCATACTTTTTCGCCAGCGTGAAAACCAAACGAAAGAGTTAGCGTTAGCGGCACAAAATTTCAATTATTTGTTTTCATTTTCTGACAGAAAATTTTACGTTGTGCAAACCAAATTCAATTTATAATGTAATAAACAATAATGTCAATGACCTTGTGGAAAATTATTTTTTTCCATTTTATTTTTAAAAATTTCTTCCATTTTATTATTAATTCGTTAAAAAACGTCCACATGTTTGAAAATATTTGTTTTTTTTTTAACAGCACTGCCATATGTTTTGAAATAAATTTCCACTGAAATGTTGGTAGCACTGCTGATTTTTTCCTAAAATATGGCAACTCAATTGGGAGCAAGAGAGACAATTTGAGTATGACGCTGAGCAAAAATGAATAAAATCTATTCTAGAGTCAAGCCGCTAGACGCGAACGTCATCCGTCGCGATTTCCCGTTGCCAATAAGAAACACACGGCAAACTACTGTCGCTGACTCTAGACTCTATGGTTGCGTTTAGACTCTAATGCTCTTTCATTCAGTCGTTGTTTGACAGCCAACGAATGAACACATGTTGGGGTGCGCGCACGACGTCGTGTCCTCACAACTAGAAAATCAACGAAATCACACTTAGGGATAAAAGTATTAATTATATTAAAAGTATTTCAGTATATTTTTATTTTATTATTCAAAATGCGTTTGGGAAGGCGCAATGTTTTGTATGTTTTAAAACTTTTAAAAACAACAGAACATCACATTATAAAATATTTAATTATTTCAAGAATTAAATATTTGATAATATGACTATTATCTCAGTATATGCTACTTTATAAACTTTATTTGATTTTTTTAACATATACAATTTGTGGTAAATTGTGTTGGAAAACATTACCACAGGTAGGAACAAAAAAGTATGAAAAGGTACCTAAAATTCTACTTCAAATGATAATAAATCATAATTATCGATAAATATTGGCCAATATTTATACCAGCTATTTGCATAAATAATATATGTTATAATTTAAGCGTAAATGTATTCACGAATAATAAAAAATCTAATTTTTGTTTTGGTACGTTTCAATTCGTACCTTTTGTGGACAAAAAGTACGCTTGTTACAAAATTAAAAATAGCGCAACTCTAACTACTCTCTCAAGAAAGAGAAACTCTCAACACCGATCCCTATCCCGATAAATGTAAAACCACGCAAAGAGTGAAATCGAGTGGACAAATCATGCTGACTTCCAAAATGTATCAATGCAATGTTTGTATAAGTTAAGGAGCAACATATTCATAATATTTTTGTGCTAAATATGATAATATGATCAGCCATGTGAACAAGTAGTGCAAATAGTTCCCATAATAAATGATATCAGGTTACATTATGGGAATAAGATGTTTGCTAAAATAAAACTGATGACACAGCGCACGTGTCGACAATGCTGTGAGAGCGGAGTTGGCAGAGACTTGCAGCGAAGCTAGCTTAAGTTCATAAACTGTTAATTTTAGTTTAGTTGCCATTTTTAATCAATAAAGTAAAGACGTGTTGATTCTCAACACGAAGTCTTTTTTAAAAATTGAAAATAACTTAAAAAGTTTTAACTGGCGCCCGAGCAGGGACCTTGCCCGTAATATCCTTAGTTAACCCGTGGTGTTAACAAAAAGGATAAAAGGTCCAAACCAAGAGAGTGCGGAAAAGATGCGCCCTAGTAGATTTCAAACGGGAGTCCTCTAAAGGACAGCTGCCGCGCTGTAAATTTAAGTGGATTTAGAAGTTTTAAGAACAAGAATTAAATTGAGAAACAAAGAAAAAAAGAGATATGTGAATTAAATTGAAAATAAAATTTATAAAAGTAAAAGTAAATGGATGATTAAAATTGTTAATATAAGAAAAAATAGAATACAAATAAAAATTGCAAAGTCAAATTAAAGAAAAATAATAAATTAAGAAAAATTTAAAATTGAGAAAGAAAAAATTATGCTTAATGTGAAAAATAATTAAAAAACAAAAAAAAATAAAATTAAGTTGAAGGAAAAATTTTGTTTTTGAATAAGTGAGAATTTGTGAAAAAAATTGTAAATCAAATTAAAAATTTAACTAGATTTTTTGAAAGGAGATAATACATTAAATAATATTTCTTTGAAAATAAATGTAAACAGAACATTTATAACTAAAAGAAATTTAAATTTTCATAAAAAAATAAAAGTTGTAAAGTTAATTAAAAAACAAAAAATATATTAGCTGAAATACTAAAATGCTATTTTTATGGTAAGTGATTAAATTCAATCAAAAAATAGACAACACAAATTTTTACTGTATTTAAAAAAAAAAATCCTTTCCCAAATTTCCCACAATAATAGTAAACATGATGCCAGGAAAATCCATAGATGAATTGACAGATAGGCTTAGTGCCTCCCTGAATATAGCACCAACTATGAGTAATAATAAGTTTTCGACGGCACAAAAAGAGGAAATTAGGGCAATAGTATCGGATATACTAAAATTTGATGCAAGTAGTGACAGTCTGGATGAGGATTGCGACCATCCAATAAGCATAGTAAAAGTTGAGGAACTAGACAAAATTCCTGATATAGTAAAAACTATTAGAGATTTTTCTGGAAAAGCAGGTGAGTTCGGGTCTTGGAGAAAATCGGTAGAAAGAGTACTAGACCTTTTTAAAGAGCTTAAAGGGACAAGCAAATATTATGCAATATTGCATACCATTAGAACTAAGATTACAGGAGAAGCTGATACAGCCTTAGATTCGTATAGAACACCCCTTGATTGGAACAAAATTAAAAAGTGTCTCATGATGCATTATTCTGATAAAAGAGACATAGGAACGTTAGAATATCAGCTTTCCACCATGTCGCAAGGGCAAAAAACTATAACAGATTACTATCAGGCGGTGTACCAGCACTTATCTCTAATACTAGATAAGATCGCTTGTTTAGATTTGAATGAAAGTAGCCTAATGGCCATGACAAATGCTTATAGGGATAAAGCACTCGATACATTCATAAGAGGGCTAAGAGGGGATCTTCCAAGACTCTTAAGCGTACGGGAACCATCCTCCCTACCTCAGGCACTTCACATTTGCCTAAAATTGGATAATATGAGTTATAGGATGAATCAGGCACAGGGATACAATCAAAGAATGGACTTTTTAAGAAAAGGTCCTGGGGGAAACTTCTATCCACAGCTAGCACACATAGGCGGAGCCACTAGACCACCATTACCGACAAGATATCAACCCAGACCAAATTATTATTATGGGCAACCTCAATCAAATAGACCTTTGCAAAACCATTATATGAATAATCCCCAACAAATGTACAATCATCCCGGACCTGCATGGAACACACAGGCAGGACAATCAAGTTTACCCAAACCAGAACCAATGGACATTGATAGGTCCTTACAGACAAGACAGGTTAATTACATCAATAGACCACAATTTAATCCCGCAATTAAAAGACCACTAGGATCATACCAAGGGCCATCACCAAAAGTGCAACGTAATTTTCATTTGAATACAGGAAATTATACTGATCAAATAATTGAGACGGGGGAAAATACGAATAGTCCCGGTTATGAACAGCAGGCGGATACTGGAAATACTTCAGATTTAATTAACTACTCTAACACTATGGCTGAGGAAAATGTAGAGGATTTATTGGAGCAAGGAGATAATGATATTCGAGTTTCCGATAATATATTCCCTGATGAGAGTTATAACGCTGATTTAAATTTTTTTGTATAAAAAGTTCCTCGTTGCCATTTTTTACCGTAAAAACGAGGAACGGACGAACATTACGGATACTAGTTGATACTGGAAGCAACAAAAATTACATCAAACCTAGTTTAGTTATCAATCCACAACCAAATCAAGAATTATTTGCCGCTAGAGCAGTTAAGGAGGAAATTAATGTATCTCATCATACGTATTTAGACATTTTCGAAGGGAAAGTGCAACCATTGCAGTTTTTCCTTCTGCCTGGTCTTAAGACTTTTGATTGCATTTTGGGTAATGATACAATGAGAGAACTTTCGGCGGTTATCCATACCAAAGAGAATTATCTCACCCTAGCTGGAGTAGGAAAAATACCAACAAGCCAGCATTGTTTCCAAGATGTAAAGAATATAGAACTGCATTTGGACCACTTATCAGGGGATGTAACCTCCACAATGGAGAATATTGTGACACAACATAGCAAGCTATTCGCAGAACCTGATGAGCGACTAACTTATACCACGAAAGTGGTTGCAAAGATAGATACAACAACGGATTCTCCTACATACACGCGGAATTATCCGTACCCTTGGGCATTGAGAGAAGTTGTAGACAAGGAAATAAAAAAACTATTGAGGGATGGGATAATAAGACCATCCCGTTCACCCTACAATGCACCAATATGGGTAGTCCCAAAAAAACAAGACTCTTCAGGGGAAAAAAAGTATAGGGTAGTAGTAGATTTCAGGAAACTGAACTCGGTTACGGTTCCAGACAGGTACCCTATACCAGAGATTAGTGAGGTATTAGCCAACCTAGGTGGAAACAAAATATTTTCTGTTGTAGATCTAAAGAGTGGGTTCCACCAGATACCCCTTAGGGAGGAAGATATGGAAAAAACTGCATTTTCTATTAGCAACGGTAAATTTGAATTTACTAGACTGCCATTTGGGTTAAAAAATGGCCCATCAATATTTCAGAGAGCCTTAGATGATATTCTGAGGGATTTCATTGGGAAGACTTGCTATGTCTATATCGATGACATAATAATCTTTAGCAAAGATACAGAAAGTCATCTTAAACATCTAGAGGAAATATTTTCTACATTGGAAGATGCAAATATGAAGGTTCAGCTCGATAAATGCGATTTTTTTAAGGAAGAAGTAGAATTTCTAGGGTTTGTTGTTTCAGGAGGAGGGGTGAAAATGAATCCAAAGAAAGTAGAGGCAATAACGAACTTTCCATATCCAACCAATTTACGAGAGTTGCGTTCTCTCCTTGGCCTTTTTAATTTTTATAGAAGATTCATAAAAGGATTTGCCGAAATTGCCAAACCCCTTACTAACATGCTAAGAGGAGATAATGGAAAGGTAAAAAAATCTGAGTCTAGAAAAATAAAAATTTTCCTGAGCAATATAGAAAAGGAAGCAATTGATTCCTTGAAAAATGCAATAATATCACCGGAAATTATTTTATCTTATCCCAATTTTGAAAAGGATTTCCACTTGACGACAGACGCATCCAATAGAGCTATAGGTGCAGTTTTAAGTCAAGAAGGACGGCCTGTGACATTTATATCCAGAGCCCTTTCTGAAGAAGAAGAAAATTATGCCACTAACGAGAGGGAAATGTTGGCCATAGTCTGGTCACTCTACAACCTTAGGAATTACTTATATGGGACTGCCAAAGTTATAATCCATACCGACCATCAGCCGCTCACATACGCTCTTAGCAATAAGAACGCTAATACCAAAATGAAGAGATGGAAGGCAATACTCGAGGAATATAACTATGAAATTAAATACAAACCTGGAAGTACAAACGTAGTAGCTGACGCCTTATCCAGGCCACCCATTTCAAGTATTCATACCTTAACGGGATCGGTACATAGTGCTGAAAGCTCGGCAGAAGATCTTATACCGAGTGTCGAATTACCAATTAATGTTTTCAAGAATCAGATATTTCTGACGATAGGCGAAGAAACATCATACCAATTTCAAATAGTATTTCCGGGTTATCATAGGCATACCATTGTAGAGAGGGAATTTACTGAAGAAAAGTTGCTTGCATTATTAAAAAGATATCTAAATCCTTCTGTTATTAATGGGATAAAAACATCAGAAGAAGTTATGGGAAAAATCCAAGAAATATATTTACAACACTTTGTCAATATTAAAGCCCGTTTCACGCAAAAAGTAGTCATGGACATTACATCAGAATCTATGGAAGAATGTATAATTATTGATACCCATAAACGAGCACACCGGAACGCTGTTGAAAATAAAGCTCAAATTATGGAAAAATATTATTTTCCAAGTATGATGAAAAAAATTAAAAGAATTGTGAAATTATGTACCATCTGTAAAATAGGAAAATATGACCGACACCCCAATGACCCCAAATTATGCGAGACTCCTATACCAACATATCCAGGGCAGGTAGTTCATATAGATATCTTTTCAACCGATAAAAAGCTGGTATTGACTGCCATAGATAAATTTTCCAAGTATGCACAGGCAAGGATTTTAAACGGCAAATCTGTGGAAGATATCAGAAAATCTCTACGAGACGTGATATTTTTCTATGGAGTTCCGAAGACTATAATTATGGATAATGAGAAGTCTCTTAACTCATCCACTATTTTATTTATGATGAGAGACGAATTAGGTATTGAAGTTGTGACAACTCCACCATATAGAAGTGAAGCTAATGGACAAGTGGAACGTTTCCACTCTACATTAGCGGAAATAATGAGATGTCTAAAGCAGGAAGAAATTTGCAGAAACT